GGACTAAAAAATTGATCAACCCATCCACTCACGCACGCATGCCAACTCCGACCTGTTTACACTTATACAAGCCTGTACCAAAGGACGCAATTCTCATACAAGTAAAATGTTACTACTGTTGGCGGGTCTCGAGAATGAGTCCCGGTAAACGTTACTCAACCAGTGTTAAAATCAAGGTGCCAATCTGTCAATGTAAAGTGCATTGTCTCAAAAGGCCAGGTAGTGAACGATCGTCACAGACGACGATAACGTCAGTGAGGTTGTTTCCAACACGGGGGAGTTTTGCGTGAACTTGTTCCTAGGGGAGTAAACGTTCACTGCGTCTACCCGGCTCGGCTTCTCTGTTAATCTGTCCACCGTTTTCCGATGGTGCGACACAAAGTCAAGTCCACGAGAGGCCGGGGTGGGCTCAAGAAACCGAACCATCCACCCACGCATGTCAATCCCAACGGGGTTCCACGTACACAAGACTGCACTTCTCGCATAAATAAAACGTAACCACACTTTTTACGCTACCCTCTGACAATTAGGGCGAAACTTCCACACTACATCGTATTAGTTTTGCGTGTGGTGTGGACAGCTGTCGCGTGATTGAGTGGGCTGATGTACCAGCACACAGGTGGGTGTGAGTGTGGATTTTTATGCGTGGGTGGAGTGAAGGATCTGGGGGCGGCCTGAATTGCGTTGTTTTTTTTTCAAGTCCATATATGGTCCCAAGGTTAAATTCGACATCTAAATGTTCCGGGTCGGTGTGTGTATGGAGGCAGATTTTGGGTGTCGCTCGGGGCAACAGGCGCCGGTTCGCTGGTCAGGTGCGTCTGGACTTGCAAGTACCCGAACCGGCCGACGCATTATTCGAACAAGTGGGGTCACAGTATGGGGGGATATGTTAGAACGAAGTCCGCATAAGATAGCGTTGCCGGTAAAGGCAAAGGAGACTGGAACGACCATTTCTGGCTTAGTAGGCGTCGTCAGTCAGTCCTGCGCAACCCCAAGTGGCGCACCACTCGAGACTCGAACTTGCGACCTTTTTCGATCAGATTCAAATGTCCTAATTATTAAGCCACGTGCTCGTTGTCTTGCCACTTTAGATCGGGTGTATTGACATTCGTCGATGCAGGTTCACCGATCGCTAACGGAACTCACTCGTACCGTTCTGCTTTGGGGCTTATTCTCGGGCCCTAACAATAGCCGCATAGTGGTTTATAGTCGCCAGCGTTGTCGGCAAAAACAAAGGAGACTGAAATGGCCATGTCTGGCTCATTAGCCGTCGTCAGCCAGTCATATCCAACCCCTTTGCTGGCAATGCCATCTGCCTAGACGATTAGTCGTGCAGCGGCTAACCCTAGCCTTAAACCCAATCCCGATTTCCCCGGCAGTAGATGGTCATTTCTGGCTCATGAGCCATCGTCAGTTAGTCATACTCAACTCAAGTGTTGCTCCAAAAGTTTGTGTCCACCTCGAGTTTCGAACTCGCGACCCTGTAAGTTAGAAGTCCAGCGCCTTAACCACTGTACCACGGGCTCGCTATTTTTCTGGTATTTGATCGGCAATATTCAGTGGCAGATAGGCGTACATCGATCAGTTAAGCGTTTTTAAGCGTTCATATGGTCTTGTTATTTTGATTTGTTTATTGGATTCGAGGCCCAGAAAGCCCTCTTCTAAACCCAACTTCCTACACCTCATCTGTTGAAGGAGAATAGGTAGAGATTGGGCGAAATCGGAGATTTCCGAATATACAAAAAAATTCCGATTTTTTTTTAAATCACAGAACGGGACCTATTATTTTTTTGCGTTGCGCTATGAAAGAGTATTAATATAAGCAAAAAGCGTTTAAAATAATTTCCTTCTGGAAATAAAAAACTTGATGTTAGATCAGTGCAAATCAGATGAAGTCATACACGGTAGAGCACTGGTTCTTCCAGTGACACCATTGGCAAATCCAACCACCGATTCATTCTAAGCCCAATCACTAACACGAGTCATTATCAGCCTAATCACCAATACACGTCTTACTAAAGGAAAAAGGACAGGATTTGGGCGAAAAGGGAGGTTTAAAAATGTCCGGAAAATGTCCTATGCTGTTTAATATGACAGAACGAGACCTACTGTTTTTGTGCGCTGTGCTATTAAAGAGCAATAATATACGCAAAAACGTTTCAAATTAATCCCTCCTAGAACCGAAACATTGGACTTTAAATAAACGATAATCCAATGTAAGAAAGTGTAAGGAATCACACTGTTTTTAGGACAAAAAAGAGACAAAGTCAGCTTTGATGATTCTTCTTTAAATCTTGAGGTTTCTTCCTAGATAAACGCAGTAATTTACTATCCTGCCAGTATTTTGATTTGTCGCGCTGAAAATTGCAATCGAAGACAGAATACGTAGGTTTTACCATGAAATTGGAGGCCTTGAACAAGCTATGCTTAATTTTAATTATAGCACGATATAACTTTTTGTAAGTATGCCTAATTTGGAAAAGAACGAGTACCAGATTAGCAGTTTCGACAAAATCTTAGGAACTATTCGGCTACTCTTTGGTACATTTACAATCTTAGAGCGGGGTCTAAATGTAAAAAAAGTATTATTAAGAACGCTCCAGTAGAAACAAAAGTAAATTCTCTAATTTTCAGCAGAAAAATATTACAAATTTTTAAAGAAGCCTAAAAACCGACCAAAATCCCTATGTTGACCTTAACTTAACCCTAGTGAGACATTCGACAAGATGTCCAAGTAAAACACTATTTTAATGAGCTAACATATTAATGAACCCTTTTAACTTGCTCCTAAGGCATATCAAGTACCGACTTTTCTTGTGGACCAATCGCATGAAACCAGTGAAAATCGGAAAGTAACCACCGTTATTTCCAGGAGAATCGGAAACTCAGTGTAATACAATACGAGAAATGCATATAAAAGATTAGGGGAGGAGGAGCTGGCAGATTTAACTAATCCAGTTAACCCAGATGCAAAAAAATTCGTGACCTCAGTGGAATTTGAACCCACATCAGCAGGGAAGACTTGCATGTGATTACATTCACAGGTTTCGGTGGGCCTTTGTAGCTCAATTGACGGAGCGTTGGCTGTACTAAAGCACTCCCTGCTGATGTGGGTTCCAATCCCACTGGGGCCACGAATGTTCCACAGGTAGGTCCAATGACATATAAAGGAGTTTTACGGGCCAAAAGTTATCTTAATATACAAAAAGGGCGTGCGTAAAATCTCAGATGGTAATCCTCTTTGCATTTATTAGTTCTCGGAGTTCGCCGGTTTTCTAAAATGTGTGTATTTCTAAACGAGATAATAGTGCTTTGTATATTTCGTTTGGTTTTTAAATTATCCCAAGGTTGTTCCTTAACATTTGAAAGCTCTGGTACACTCGCTGGTGCCAGTTCATGAATGTCGGCACTCGGCAAAACTAGTGGGCAGATTATGGTTGTTTGCGCTTGAGTTTGAGTTAGTTCCTTCTGATAGCAAACTTACACTACTTCAACCGTTGATGAACGTTCACCGAGCGCTAACGGAACTCATCTGCCCCGCTTTGCCTTGGCTCTCCACAGAAGCCCTGACGGCCTTAGCAGTTGGTAGTATAGGCAGACAGTTTTGCCGGAAAAGACGAGGGAGACCGCAATGACCATTTCTGGCTTATTAGCTGTCGTTACCCAGTCATACCCAGACACAAGTGGTGTCCCACCCGAGCCTCAAACTTGCAATTTTTGCACCAAGAACTCGTTGTCTCATCGGTTTAGATCGCTGGATATTGACACTTGTTGATGAACCTTCATACGACCACTTCTAGGCTTCTGTCGGAGTCCAAGGCGGAGCGGGGCAGATGGGCTCTGTTAGCGGCGGGGTGAACGTTTATCAACGAGTGTCAATATCTTCCGACATAACCCGTCAAGAGAAAGAGCTCGTAACTCAAGGATTAGGGCATTTGACTCTGATCAAAAAGTTTGCGAGTCCGAGGCTCGGTGAGACACCACTTGGGTCTGAGTATGACTGGCTGACGACGGCTAAAGGGTCATAAATAGCTATTCCAGTCTCCCTCGTCTTTGCCGGCAAAACTACTTGACTACATTAACCATTTGGGCCCGCTGGGAAAGCAATGCCAAATTGACCACAGGTGGACTCGGTCGCTGGGACTGAGAAAATTAAACAGTCCGACTACACGTACCACACACGCAACGATCCCTGCACAACGAACTAGGTTCTTCCATAAAAAGGGATGTCTAGGGTGCCGTCCATGTGGGAGGCCGCATTTAGCCCCATTTTCAGTCCATTAGTCTGCATCTACGGTGTTTTAGCCGTTTGTTTACCCACCAGTTGGCTTTTATAACACGAAAGAGTGACCCATTTTCGAAACTCATGCTTTCTGCGGGCAATCTGAGAAAAAGATTCGATCGCTGGAATGACACTTTTATAGGCCTGACGTTTCGGCATCCTTCCCGGATTCTTCATCAGGGACATGAGCAGAAAGCAGTAGCAGAAGTGGGTAACACATGCACAGGACAGAGTCATTACTGCATGCGTATGACAAATAACGAGAGTAAACGATAATTGCCCTCATGTTTGTTGATTGCTTGATTACCGGCATGCGGGCGCCGACTTTGTGAACTCTCATCACGCGTGGTGGAATTGGACGTGATGATTGCTCGGCCATCTGGTTCCTTGGTGTTGGTGTAAGACAACGTAGCGGCTCATGCGTTTCCCAAGTGGTGACTTGCTTTGGCCAAATTGAACCACAGCACCGAACATGGAGTGGGCAAGTCGCTGCTCTTGTTTAGGGACTGGGGGCCCGTGAACCATGACTCAAGTAATTTTCAGCTCAGACGATTGTCACCTCTTGCTCACTTCACCTCAGGCAAACAAAGGTGTTATCCCAGCGATCGAGTCTTTTTCTCAATTACTTCCTGGGACTCGTGTGTTCGCTTGTATCTGTAAAGCGCACGTGATCTGATGAAATATAAACACCTTTCTGTTCTACTTTAGTTCTCCAAGCATGCACCCCGGGGAATTCCACACGCGAAACAAGAAGCTACATTGGAACAACTATGAAGCCCGCGCGCTCAGAGCAGGACCCGCCTTTGGAACAGTCATTGAGGGTGATATCAGCGGCACCACCTACTACCCCTCGTCAAATCAGGCTCAGCCGGATCCCTCGCGGGAATACCTCATTCTCCAGTTACCGAAACCGGTTTTGGCCAGGAATCTGAAGCGACATCAATGCGTCTTCTGGCAGGAGAAATTGCCGATGCTGCGAAGGCGGCTACTTCCAAGTAGGCAATGATGGCTGTCATTTAACTTGTTCCGTTCCTCAGATTGACACAATTGAGATATCTGAGCTGATAATTTGGTCAATAGTACTGACTCACTGAACCAGGCTAATTGAAATGCTGACGTTTCGGAGAGCTTGGTCGGCTTACCGTAATCAAAGCGGTAAATCCACTTAATAGAACAAAATAGAAGTGGCGTGCCGTGACCTGCCTATCTGCATCGGGATGATCGATTGCTTTAGCGTCCGCCGCCTCAGCCATTAGACGGATGTTTGGTGAGAATTTTAAAGACATACTTTATGAATTACCACCTCGATGGAGCGGGTAGGGTTGAGACTCTGTGGTGTTGTTCGGTCCAGTGGCTCTTTTCATCCTTCGAGCGATTACGCCATTATGCTGAGCCTAAGCAGCCTTCTTCATTGCTGTGTAGTCGTCTTGTCCTAAGCTTGATTTAGGTAATGGCGTATAACTTTATATGCTGTGTGAAGGTCAAAATGCCCGTTGATTTATTTGGTATTCGAGTACCACGCCTCAAATGTAAACCGTTCCGACTTTAAGTTACCTTGGCTTAAGATAGTAGCTTCCTAGACATCGAAGGTATGGCTGCTTTCGACAAATTCGGTTGCAAGTTGAGGTCTGGGATTTAGTCTCCAGTTTCCCATATGTGGTACCACGGACAGATCTGCCATTTCCGTCCAGTTTTCCCAACGTAAGTAAAGTTCCCATCGTCGCGACCGATTTTTTAGTAATTGGCAGTGTGTCCATAGGTTGCATAAAGTAGGCAGTGCATATTCCGGTGGATTGTTACAAGAGAAGGTGAGCACATAGAACTTAAGAAAACCGCAGATCCCTACCCCTCTCGAGGGCGTGAATCATTATGCAGGCAACAAAAACGACCGCCAAACATCTTCAGAAAAATCGATCATCCGGATGCCGACAAAGCTCACTATATCTATTCCTGTTCGATCAAGTGCATTAACGCTTTGGCAATGGTAGGCTGATGAAACTCTGCGAAAATTTGCGATTTGGAGTACATCAAAGTAAATCTCTTTCGCCCTCAACCATTTCTGCAGCTAGACTGAAAATGAAGTATCGATAAGTTGTGCCCTTTACTGAACTACAACCTATGCTATCAACTGTGCAAAAGATTTGGCTGCCAGAAGCCAAGGTTTGCGTTTGATATCCTTAAGGATTCTCACGCCTCGCCGTGCTTCCTGCCAAACAGTCTGTATCTAGTCCCATTTATTATATTCGGTGGCATTTACGTGAAGAGGGACGTTACTTCGAACGATTCCATAATTTGACCTCACTGAACAGTTTTCCCTCCCAGATGAAAGAGAAATTCAAAAGGGCTGAATTGCTGGTGATAACTGAACTCTCCTTGTGTAGGATTAATCTTCGGACCATCCGTTTGGTTACGCCCGCCTTTCAAAGTTGCGACTCACTTACAATAAACAATAAACTTACGAATTTAAAAAAAAATAGAACCCGGTCAGGGCTGTGTCAGTCTGCTTTGGACGGCGCCATTCGTGTACCGAAACAGCTGACCTGACTGCCAGCCATTTTGGTCTACTTATGGTGCCAAGCATGTCTCACACCAACTACTAGCTGGAGGCCTTTCGACTTTCATCAAAAGTTTATAGTGGTACCTCGCAGATTGGTCCGGCTATGAAGCGCATCAAGGTATTGAAGCTGTATCTGACCAGGAGGGTTATGCCGTGCGTTTGATAGCCGCACTAAGGTGTGGGGTGCCGATGCATACAGTACGGCTCCGAATTCGTGCAACTTGCCGACATTTGAGAAAGATTGATATTCACTGGCTAATTGTTATTGAGTAAAGTTGAAACACTGTTTATCCTGTAGCCTATTCTCGGGTCTGTTTAGTCACGATATGATGCCGTTTTTTTAACAACCTTTTTTCTGACCGCTAACAAAAAATGCGTACTGTAAAAAAATGGCTACTTAATTATTAGACATTTTTATCATTGATTTTGACTGCTTTTATAAATTAAAATAGTTTCGTAAATATTCCCATGGTTAATTTTAAAAATCAGTTTTTGACAAACATATGTTTTTCTACATATTAAAATTCTAATTGTTATGTACAGCGTTCAGTCCCCCTGCAAATGTCTGGCCTGATGACGAGTTGCTGAAAACATAAGTCTGCCATAGACTGACTTTTAAAATTCAAATATATTTTGTGGAAAACATGTACAAAAAACACTTTCTTGTGCTCGATTGGTAGCAAAATACGTCTTCTTTAAATTTAATGCTTAAAGAAAGGGCATCTTCAGTTAAAAAAAATTTCCAAGTTGCCGAATAATTTTGAAGCCTACCGACTACTACACCTGAATTCAAGGTTTACAAACTGCGCACTGTGAACATTCTGTTTAACGAAAAAGTAGCTCTTGCTTACGGTTCGAGGAAGAAGGCATATAGTTCTCATGCGTTGTTGCAGTAGATGTGGATTATGCTGTATACATTATAGGCAGCATTAATAAATTTACGGTATAGTGAATGAACACCTAAAAATTGTAAAAAATATCATAATTAGAAATTTTTCTAAAACCGAAGAATGAACTTTAAGGAAGTTGTAGTTTTCTACCAAACGAGTACAAGAAAGAATGTTTTTGTACATGTTTACCATTAAATATATTTGAATTTATAAAGGCAGACAAAATCAATGATAAAAATGCCTGCTCATTAAGTATCCATCGTTTGCAGTATATTCTGCTTGGTAACGGTCAGAAAGAAGCTCATTGAAAAGCCTGCATACTATCGAGACTGAAATAACTTGAGAATAGGCTACACGATGATCAGTATTTCAACCTTACGCAATTCCAATTAGCGAGTGAGTATCAGTCTTTCGCAAATGTCGGCATGTTGCACGAATTCTGAGCCATACTGTATTCCCGACAACAGTCTAAAGGTCTCCGGCTAGTAGGTGGCGTGATGCTTGTCTTAAACCATAAGTGGACCAGGTCAGTTGCCAAGACATGGTCTCGGTACAAGCATGGCGTCGGTCAATGCAGACTGGCACAGCCCTGACCCGGTTCTCTTTATTTTTACGAATTCACTGTTTACTTTAAGTCAGTTGCAACCTTGAAGAGCAGCCGTAACCAAATGGATGGCCGGAAAATTAAACTTGCACAAAGAGTGCTCAAGCATCGCCAATCAGTCAGAGTATTTTGAATTTCTCTTTCATTTGGGAGGGAAAAGTGCTTAGTCAGGTCAGGTTGTGGAATCGTTTGACGTAAACTCAATATTCATGTCCATGCTACCGGAGTAGCTTCGCGGGCACCTAACCCTTTTAAATATGCATTTGTAATACGTTCTGCTGGTCCCGAAATGCAATGAACGGGTAGCATATTATAGCAACTAACACAGGCCATAATTAGCGCACCTGTAGGTTGGTGCGTGGGCCTAACCATGGGTGTAAGGATTTATTTAAGAAGTTAGGAGCCACGTCCAGCTTACTAGCCATTTTCTGGCCAGCCATTTCTGCTTCGATAATGGCCGTTACTCGACTGCCTATGAGGGCTCTAAAGTGAGATCCAGGGCAGGGCATAACAAAAATGACTCGTAACCGGATCAGTGCACGACCCTCCATCCTGACCCCACTCGATCGTTAAGTGGGATGAAATGAAAGGCAGGCTTATGAAACTAGTTTGTAAGCAGAAGCGGATGTGTTGTGAAGATTGCACACGTTCGGCGAGGGGGGGGGTGGACGGGGCTTAGGATAGGGCGCCAGTGGATTAAGTTGGCAGATTATAGAGATAGGGGGAGGGAGGTGGGGGCACGGTGAGTCAGCGGCACACCAGAAAGCTGGATGGGGATTAGCAGTTGCTAACTTCGGATGAACATAGAAGGGTCAGAGACCCATGCACGTAGACCGTCTTGTTGAGTGCTAAGGTCAACATGACAGGTCTGCATACCAAGTCTCGCCAACTTCTGAAGTGAATTGCGCAGTGGCCGTAGTGATCACTGCACTATCGTCCCAACTGAAGTCACCTTCGATGTCGTAAGTTGAGAGGCAACGAGCCAGACTGACGAAGAGTCAGTGGGCACTCGTTAACGTGTGTCTACAAACGTCGACCTACGAATGCAAGAGCGTTAGCGCATGGAATGTGGTAAAAGATGATAGTTTGTTACTGTTTAGAGGCGAGTTCCGCTACTGGAAATAAGGATGTTGACTGCAAACATCAAACTTGTTTTGCTGGTACTGCTATCTGCCTAGACTACTAGACGCTGTGCGGCTGCTGGTGGGATCCCAAGGAAGAGAGCCGGTCGAGTGAGTTTTGATAGCGATCAGTGAACGGTAGTCAACGCATGTCAATATCGTGCGATTTAAACTGGCAAGACAAAACGCCAGTGGCTCAATGGTTAGGGCTTTTGACTTCTAACTAGCAAGACCGCAGGGTCGAACCGCCGAGTGAATACCACTTGGGGTTGGGTATAGCCAGTTGATGATGGCTGATGATCCAGAAATGGTTATTCCAGTCTCTCTTGTCTTCGGCGGCAATGACATGTGCCCAAACTGGTTTACTTGCCCTATCCTTATGAGATGGAGAGCTGTATTCATGAAGCGTGATTCCGATACTAGTGTTGTGGCATTGTGTCTGTCTAGGAATATCTTTAGCAGCAGACTGGGTATCTATCGGATCAGAATAACCAAGGCAGATAATCTGGATCTTCTCTTAACACAGTAAATTTGCTACAGTAACGGAGGTCGTGATAGGAGACTGTCTAGTGCTGCCTTTCCACGAATACGTTTTCCCTAAGAAGTATATTGGAATTTATAAAGAACTTAAAAATCAACATGAAAACTGCATACTACTGAAGTTTGCAGGCTGGCGCTAAGCAGCACATTCAAAAGTCGGCAAATTGCCGTGGCGATGCTGTTGCATGACAATAAACCTTACAGATGACATAAATAGTTTTTTTGGCAGATTTTCATAACTCATATGATCCACTATTGAAAACATTCGGTGGCCCCAATTTGATTCCAACTCAC